AGTAACACACACACACACAGTAACACACACACAGTAACACACACACACACACACACACACACACACACACTGAAGGCGTGTTCGTGCGACGACCGCGAGGCGTCCTGCAGGTTATGACGCCTGTCAGTCACAGCACACGACAGGAAGCTGTGTGTGGCTCCTTCCTGTCGTCTGGCTGTAAATCAGAGTACAGCGGCTCCTAACTCGCGGCCCCTACATGAAAACCTCATCATGTGACGCAGCTGAGGCGTGTCCCCTGTTCTCGTCTTACCGCCACACTCAGGACTGAAGCGCGACGGCGTCACGTCGGTGGTTCTGTGAGTCCTGCACAGGCGCCCACTTGGTGTCACATTAATGTGAAACCAGATGATGAACCAGGGACCCTAAAGAAAGAGGACCAGGTCCAGGCTGTCAGTGTCAGGCCCTCGTGACCTCACATCCTGTCAGCTGGAGTCTGTCGGTCTGGGCGAGGAGGTCACGGTCAGGCTACAGGTGAGTCAGCTTCTGCTCTAACAGGATAATTATTACTGAGGAGCTTTTAGTGTGACGGCTGCAGGATTTACAGTCCTGAGTCCCACCCTGAACCGCCTCCTCATCAGGATCCTGACTCACAAACAGGAACCACACACGGCAAAGTGATGTCACACTGTTGGCTTCCAGGCTTTTAAACCCAGTCTAAGGATTTCAAGGACCTCCGGGTTTTCAGTCTCAATAACCTGAAACAGAACTACGGAGACCCGGTTCAGCTCAGATCTGTTCAGAGCCCTTCTGTTAAAAGACGGTGAGTCCTGCGGGCCGGGAACTGGTCAAACTGACGTATTGTGTACAAGGGCAAAAGGTCCAGAACTCTCCACTGAAGCTCATATCCCAGGTGTTACTGGTCCAGAAACATGTACCCGGGTCCAACAGGTCAAGAGTTCTGCAGCAAAGGTCTTAGTCCAGGTACAACTGGTTCAAAATCTGCAGTGAGGTCTGCAGTTCAGGTCTAACTGCCAAACCTTTGCACAGGGGCTCTTAACCAAGGTCCAACTGACCCAGAAATCTGCACCAAGGTTCCTGGTCCCGGTCTAACTGGTCCAAACCTCTGCAGCAGGACTCTTATTTCTAACTGGTTCTGACAGAAGTGGGGTTGTTAAGTTGTTTTCACAGTATTATTACTGTAATTTCAACAGTTTCTTACTGTATAATTGGTGTACAGTATGTTACTGTAGATTTTCAATGCATTCTGGGAAATATTACTGTAAATCTCAATACAGTAATACTAACTGACAGCGAAAACAACCACCAACCTCCGTTTTGAAATGAAAGACGGTCTTGGATTTGACTATATTAATACTAATATTTAGTTTAACATCAGATATCATGAAACTTTTCTTGAAACTTTCACATCAGACTCTTCCGGACTGGACTGGATGCGTTAAGTTGGCGCTTACCGTGGCTTTGATGTTATGTGACATATCTGGTAAATAGCCGCAGCTAACGTTAGCTAGCTAGCTAACGTTGGTGTAGCAAAGCTGTCCTGTTAGCCTGTCAGTAAGTTAGAAGCCGATTAAATTAACGATAATAGCTTAAACAAAAAGCTTGATTTGCACATTTTATTTTATAACGTTAGATAGTATATTTAGGCTGAAGGCCAAAATTACCGGAACTTTCTATGTTATTTAATGGCGCTGCCTGTCTGACCTTGGGTGTTTGCATGTAAGTTAACATTAAAGTGAATTTATGTTCACAGGCAGTCTTCTTGATTTTTATTTTCACTGGCTTTTCTGTTCTCTTATTTCCACAAGGCGGGAGCTGAGCCATATTGTGGGACCAAGACCATGTTCAGGATTCCAACCTGTAAAACTGTAAGTCCATTATTACTAACTAACATAACGTTACCATGGCCCATTATTGTAGTACGGCCCATTAGAATTACTGGATATATTTACATTTAGTTAGTGATTTATTGGATTTAAGATACTCTGAACTTGGTTTTAGCCCCCTGCTATAACATGACAGCTAAAGATGAGCTTAAATAGATAAAATGATTGCTTGTGGCAGCTTGTTGGTAATGCTTGAGTAAAACAGACCTGTATTATGAGTTTAAGTTATGATGGCCTAAGACTGTTTAATTTATTATCCATCTTCAGAAAGTCTTAGAGAATAATTGTGAATATCGCCAAAATTGTGTGCCTTGGTCCTCCTGTCACTAGAAGTGAGAGTAAAAGTGTCCATTTTTCCCATTGACTCCCATAGTAAAAGTCTCCTACAGTATCTGTACTCTAACTTATAGATAGGAGGGTTATGATTACCTTTTTCCAACACAGCACTCCCAGAAGTCATGTACGTGTCTGAGTATTCTGACGGAGTCACCTTCAAAGGTTTCGACTGTCTTGTGTAATCAGAGTGCAGAGCAGCCTTCATAGTTCACTCAAAGGTGTTTAGATAACATGAGTTTGGCATTTTAGATGAATTTCTGTCCCAGTGATTGATTTGTTGTGTTGTTGTTCATTTTTTTGCAGGACAATCAACCACCTCCACCCTCACCTGTCTAACTTCACCACCATTACTTCTCCAATGCTGACATCCCCACCCAGAACACCTACAGTGAGAAATTGTTTTGGGTAGATTCTTTTGTGTGTTGCAATGTGTCTTGACAGGATAACTGTGGCTTGGTTGAATGTTCAGCCAGTTTTCTGGAGTTTTGATTAGTTGTTACTTGTTATTTATTCTAATGATTTTTATGGAGAATGTCATGTTTAGCATGTGGGCAAGATGGTTGATGACCCATATTTTTTACTAGTTGGATGGAAAAACATCCATTTCAGTATTTTCTTATCTTCAACCTGGCTTTTCTAATCTCTGTTTGTAGTTATAGGGAAATATTTTCAGAGAACCCCTTTTTATACATTGATTAGAGACTACCTACAGATCTCTTTATATATGTTATTATGACTGTTTTGTTCTACTTGAGCAATAAACAATCTGCTTTTTGTGCAGTTAAGTCTTCAAATGTCCTTTTTCCTATTTTACATCAACAGCAAATAGACATATTTTATTGGTTATACAGTAGTACTGTAAAAAACAGTAAATACAGTAATATTTTCACAACAGTATATTACTGTACTTGATTATACAGTATGCCAAGAAATAACAGCATAATACTGTACTTCAAAATAACAGTACATATACTGTACTTTATTTGACGGTATGCTAAACACTGCTGTTGTTGGTTTTACAGTAATTTTACCGTAGAATGAAATACAGCAACTACTGGATAATTGTTGCCAGTAAGTTACTGTTAATTCTACAATAAACATCTTACAGTGTACCAGGGGGCTCTTAGTCCAGGTCCAGCTGAACCTTTGCAGGCAGACTCTAAAACAAAGACTAGATGGTTCAGAACTCTGCATCAGGACTCTTATCCCGGGTCAAGACGTCCAACATTCTGAGAACATTTGGTTTAATCACGAAAACACAACATGACGATCTTTTCTGTTCAGTCATTTTAACTTCAGAGACTCAGTACTGCAGTACTGTTACTGTACTGAGTACACAGTAAGCCAACATTTACAGAACCTGTAATTTCCATAACGTGTGATCAGTGAAGACGTCCTCTCCGATCTCTGATGCAGGAAACAAACTTTATCTAAAGTACAGTACGAGTACAAATTTCAGGGTGAAACGTGTACTCGTTGTTGTACTCCGTTAGATGTACTTGTGGTTGTGGCAAAAGGTATTTTTTGATGTTGTGTATTTTGGAGAGTGGTACTTTCAGTACTTCTATCTGACTCTGAGGCCCGCTGGACGCAGTACTTTCAGGACTGACTTCTGGAGGTTATATTTTAAATCGGCGTCCTGGCGGCGGCGTTGGAAACGGCTGATTAAATAAAGTTATTTCTCATGCTCTCTGGTCTCCTCTCAGTGTTTCGGGCCGAGTGTCCTTTAATCCGGCGGATCATCCAGTTAATCCGGCGTGATAATGGCGAGCAGTGATCAGCCGTTCCGCTCTGTTACTCGCTCATTAAAGCGTCAGACTGGAACCAGTCAGCCAGAAGAAAAACCAGCAGGCAGACCAGAACCTGACCTGGGATCAGTAGCAGGGTCAGGACCCGTCTGATCAGCACGTCAGCTCAATGAAACCGACTAATAATGCTAATAACCCAGACGATGATGAGGTCGTGACCTCAGGCTTCATCACGGAGGCTTCTGATATCTGCTAATCGATACTTTGATATGAAATGAAGCAGACGACTGAAAGCTCTCAGCCTCCTTTAGGTCCTGGTCCTGGTCTGACCCGTTATTCTCTTTAGATTTATTCAGCGTTTGGTTTCTCTGCAGTAAATCAGTTTTAAATCCTTATATTCAATAATGCTAAAGAATGATGTCATTAAGGAGATAATTAGTCGAAACATTAATTATTGAAGTCGGTTATTTACCTTGGAGCAGTAAGGTGACCTTGAGTCCAGGTTTTATACAAAGGCCCTCACATATTTCTGTTTTAGGCCTTAAACCTGCTGGTAACACATTAAAAAGCACCTGATCAATAAATATTAATTAGTGATCCATGAATGAACTGTGACGTTTCTGTTGATTCAGGATTCATATTTCCTTTTGTTTGTTGGCAGCTGTTAAATATCTGAAAATACGATTTCAGTCTTTCTTATTGATCCTGTTTGATTGATCATCTCCTGATCCGATCTTCATCACTGATGCGGGTCTCCGTGCGGCCTTGAAGCCCGACAGGAAGAGATGTTGAGGAAAAGGGGGACGTGGACTCTGAAGTTTCTGCTCGCAGTCATTTTTCAGTTTTTCCAATAAAACGAGATTTTTCCTGTTAATGCGGAAAATAAACTGGCGCGTGCGTCGTGTGTGCGCGCGTGCGTGTGGAGGAGGAGATGGGACCTGGAGGGTTGGACCTGCAGGAGGAGGAGGATCACACCAGTCCGCAGGTCACCATCATCACCTCCTCCTCCTCCTCCTCACAAACACTCTCTCCGCTCCTCCTGGCCCGGCTCGGCTCGGCTCCGAACGCTTTCCCCAGGACCAGGACACAGACGGACGGACACGCAGACCGGGGACGGGACCGGACGAACAGGAGCGGGACCTGCAGGATCCGTGTTCCGCCTGCGGGCTCCCGTCATGCTGGGCACCGTCAAGATGGAAGGGCACGAGGCTCCGGACTGGAGCGGATACTACAGCGAGGAGGTCGGTCACACTCCGCCCGCGTTACCGCTGCTTTCACCGCCACCGCGAGGGTCTAGGATCCGGGTCAGACCGATCCGGATCAGCTCCTGATAAACCAAAATTTAAACGGAAAATTCTCCGGAAGGTTCCAAACATTTAAAGTCGAGCTGAAATGTTTCTGAATTTATTCTGCTGCTAAAGTTAAAAAGAAATAAAATAAAGAGATAAAGAGAAAGAAAGGTTAAAGAATAAATTCTGCATTTCTGTAAAATAAAAGAGACAAGCAGCGGAACAGAAACAGAAACGCGTTTTATTTCATATTTCTGTAAAAGTTTAATTTATTTTAATCACGGGTTTTATTCCTAAAATAGTTCTAAAGCTGGATTCAACTATTTAAGTTGAATAACTTTCTATAAAGACAAAAACAAAAAGCAGAGCAGAGATGAAAACACACACACACACACCTCTAACAGCCCGACAGGTGTTTTTATACCAAACGCAGAGAAATCTCATGTTTCCGCTGATTTCGCAAAACTCTAAAATTGGGTCTTTTTTAACAGGAGTCTTGAATCATTATCATAAAACCAAAAATCTGATTCTTTCAATCACCGAAGTTATTGATCCGGAGTTCGTCTCGTTCCGTTCCCGCGCTGTTAACACACATTTTTTTTGTTAATAATAAAATGCTGATAAAAATATTTATTATGTTACCGGATTATCCGACAGCAAAGTGCGTCGAGCTGTAATTATTATTAAAACCATCTTTATTAAACACTAAACATTTATAGGAATATGTGTGTGTGTGTATATTGGCTATATATAAACTGTTTATTTTTCTAGCAAATATTTATTCTGTTACTACGGTTAAATATCGGCTGAGTGATTTTATTAAATATAAATTTAATAATTAATTTTTTATTTTGAAGGTTTTATTGTTGAAACCTGAATTAAAGTCCGTCTGTGGACAGAAAACCGGCCGTCAGCTCCAAATACTGCCTATTACTACACTACTATACTACATACACACACATATATATATATATTAACTTTGTAGATAATAAAATGTAATTTAGTGTTAAAGTTTAATTATATCAAATATACAATGAGTTTGTTTTTAGAGAGCTCAGTTCAGATTTTGAGAATCGGCTTTATTAGTTTGAATCTGGTGCATAAATTTTAATATAACTACATATAAATATATGTCTGACTGGTTATAAATATAAACTATAAATATAGAAATAAAACCTGGAATGAAGCAGTTCTAAAAGAATAAAAAGTGGCGGTTATTTTGTCACGTGCAGTTTTATGTGACGGAAACGTTTCAAAAAGCAGAAAGCCGGAAATAAATGAGGAAGTTCCAGTTCCTGTCCGTCAGACTCTGATCAGACTCCAGGCAGCTCATAGTGATCAATAAGTGACTCTGAGGGTGAGGTCACTTTGACGGCTTTAATTATGACGTAATGAAGTTGTGTGTGATTTCAGATATTTAACGGATTCGTTCTGAGGAGACGTTCAAAGGGAGCTGTGACACTTTCTTCTCTACGATGTGATCAGTTATTAGTAATTGATTAATTACCGGCCTGTGGCGAATTTAAAAAAAGTTAATTTAAATCTGAAGTTTGTTTTTTGTTGGAGGTTAATAAATTATTAATGATGATCTTTAAATCCTCTTCATTCGTTAATGAGCTTTGTGGGTTTATTTTAATCAAATTAAATGATTTTTATTAATGATCGATCAGAGTGAGTGTGAACATGAAGCTGTGACATCATCACCGCAGATCGATCCACCAGAATCAATAAAGAAACAGGAATCAGTTTGATAACTCGGCGGGGCTGTTGGTCCGGATCAGTCTGGACCAGATCAGGTCCAACACAAACCTGGAAGACTAAATTAAAAATCACTTTGGGTTCTGGTCTGGACTGAACCGGTTTTATGTGAATGGAAAGCAGAGTGCGTACTGGTCCAACTGTCTCTAATGTGGCCTTACTGGTCCTGGTTTTGGTCTGACCGGGTCTGATCTGTTAATAATCTGAACTGTCTTTGGTCTGGTCTAAAGTCTGGTTGTACAGGTTTTGGTCTAACAAGTAGACTGCTCTAGAACCAGTACCAATTAGACCAGACCAGACTTGGTCTATCTGCTTCTGGTCTAGTGTAAATGTCTCTGATCTGGATCTCTCTGGCCTAACTGGCTTTGATATGAATTGTTTCACTGGTTGTAACTGGTTCTGGTCTCTCTGCAGATGTACTCTCCAATGGCAGGCGGTGGGATGGGTTCTGGTCTCGGAATGGGCTCCATGTCAGGCTACATGTCCAGCAGCGGGACAACGTCAGGCTCCTTCAACATGTCGTACAGCGGGACCGGTCTGAGCCCCGCCCCGGTGGGGGGGATGGGAGGCTCAGCTCCAGCGGCCATGTCAGGTTTGGGCGGGGGCGTGGCCTCGATGGGCGGGGCTCTGAGCCCGTCCAGTATGAGCTCGGTGTCAGCCCAACAGGCCTCGATGGGTCTCAACCCGTACGGGGGCATGAGTCCCACCATGAGCCCCGGCATGACGTACGGCGGCGGCGGGCTGAACCGCGGCCGCGAAAACAAGGCGTTCAGACGGAGCTACCCGCACGCCAAACCCCCCTACTCCTACATCTCGCTCATCACCATGGCGATCCAGCAGGCGCCCAGTAAGATGCTGACGCTCAGCGAGATCTACCAGTGGATCATGGACCTGTTCCCGTACTACCGGCAGAACCAGCAGCGCTGGCAGAACTCCATCCGGCACTCGCTGTCCTTCAACGACTGCTTCGTGAAGGTGTCGCGCTCGCCGGACAAACCGGGGAAGGGCTCATACTGGACCCTGCACCCGGACTCCGGGAACATGTTCGAGAACGGCTGCTACCTGCGGCGCCAGAAGAGGTTCAAGTGCGAGAAGAAAATGTCGCCGAAGTCCGACGGCAGGAAGGAGCAGGGTGGAGGGGGGGGAGGAGCGTCTCCTTCTGGGGACGCCATCAAACCTCAAGGACTCCTCGACTCCTCCTCCCTGCCCTCCTCCAGCCAGGCGGCCTCGCCTCCCGGGCTGGACCTGCGGGGAGGCGGGGTGTCGGACCTGAAGGTGTCCGGCTCCCAGCTCCTGTCCTCCCTGTCTTTACCCCCCCACTCCATGGGGCACGAGTCCCAGCTGCACCTGAAGGGGGACCCGCACTACTCCTTCAACCACCCGTTCTCCATCAATAACTTAATGTCGTCCTCAGAGCAGCAGCACAAACTGGACCTGAAGGCGTACGAGGCGCTGCAGTACTCCTCCTACAGTGCTGGGGGGGCGTCCGGCCTCGGGGGGAGGACCATGGAGCCTCTGGAGGCCGCCTACTACCAGGGGGTCTATCCCAGACCGCTCCTCAACACCTCGTAGTACCCGCTGCACTTCCTGTTTGGACTCTAACTCTCTGCATGCAGCCGTCCTGGACTTCCTGTCTGACTGTGATGATACTGAACCGGATCGACTGCTGCTGGTCTGGACTGGACTTCTGCACTGTGACCAAACCGGGACGCAAAGAGACACGTTAATCCATCAGCGGTTTAATCTGATCCCAGGTCTGAGCTCTCCTTTTACACACCAAGTCAAGGTCCGGTTTATAAAATTCAGAAAAACCTCCAACACGCTCTCCTCAGACCAGGACTGTCAGTCAGACCAGGACTGTCAGTCAGACCCGGACCGTCAGTTCGGGATCATTAACAAGAGAAAAGTTTATTTCCAGAGCTTGATTTTTTTTTTTTCGTCCGGCCTCTAAAAACTCTCCTCAGTCCAGGTCTGGCTGGTTCTGGTTCTGAACGTGTCCCTGTGAGTCCACGAGCCGCCACTTTACTAAACCCACAGATCAAAGGTCGCGAGTTTAAACGAGGTGGGATTTAATACTCTGGCAGTTTATGTCTCCTGATGAGTTCAGAGGTCAAAGGTCACCCGGTGGTGATGATGTCATGGTTGTCACGGTGACACAAATAGATTATTAATCCCGTGGTTTGATCAGAAATATGGCGAGGATCAATTTCTCCCACGACCTCGTGCGCCTCTCTGCTGACCTCCCGCGGGGTCCCGACCCTCAGAGTGAGAACCCCCTCCCCCGCAGAGCTTTTTATTTAAACACAATGGACCCGTCTCCCGCCGCCCGCCGCTCGCCATCTCCTGTCGATCTATTGATCAGTCTGATTATTGATCCTCAGGAAAGTTTCTGTTGCTCGTTAATTATGATACTTTTTGTATCAAAGAAAAAAAATGCACCAAACATTTTAAACAAAAACTAAAATGCTGACGATCAGTGACGGCTGATCCTGCACTGATCGATCTAGTCCTACACGCGGCGCCTCAGTCGGAACATGAAAGGCTTGTAAATGTAAAAAAATAAACCAGATAATAATTATTTTATAATCAATAAGTGACAGAGAAAACGGTGACGTCCTGAATTTAAACTTTTTTTATTGATCAGCAGCAAATTTCCTCCATAAAGGAAACAAACATTTGAATCTGTCAGATTATCGACGACGTTACTTTATTCATGTGAAACAGTTTGATAGCCGATCGATCAGCTGTTGATCGATCAGCTGTTGATCGGCTGTTGGTGTCAGATGCTAAACTGGATGTTTGTTCCAATCGTTTTCATTGATTAATATTTTATCATTTACACACGAGTTTCATCTGTTAATTTCATGTGTAATCAATAAAATAAGTCCAAGGTGGCGCCTCCACCTGAGAACCTGCAGACTGAACTCAGGGCTGAACAGCAGCTGTGTTATTGATCGGAGAAAATAATAATTATTAGCCGGAGGTCTGACGGAGGTTTGAAAACTATCATGAAAGATTTCTTGATTCTGAACCTGCGGCAGCGTTTGGATCAGCGGATCTTTGGTGACTCTGTGTGTAAAAGCAGAACCACTTCCTGTTTCTGACTGCTGGTGAACTATTTAAACTGACCATCACTGACTATTGATTATTGATTATTGATTATTATCATGTGCATGAATGAAGTGGGAGGTCGTCGTCTTCTTCTCTTTTCTGGAAAAAAAGTGGGTTTTTTTATTGAACACTGACCTCCTCCTCTTCCTCCTCTTCCTCCTCCACCAGGAAGGAAGGAAGGAGGGGAGGAAGGAGGAAAGATGGAAGGAGACTTTATGTGCCCCCCCCCCCCGTCCTCGCTGTACTTGTTCTGTCGCTTTCGACTCTGCTGCATGTTCTTCTTCATGTTCTTAACTTATTCTGTCATTTTGAAATAAAACACAAACATGTATTGATTTGTTGTTATTTTCTGATTATTGCTCCAGTTTTATAAATAATATTTTAATATTTCATTAGTGATCAATAAATCAGACCAGAATAGCTTTTATTCATGATAATAGTTATTAATCTAATGAGATCTTGAGCAATCAAATATTTCATTTAAATATTTACATTATCATTTTAATCTGAAAAGCTCCTAAGTGTAAAACACGCTCTGGTTCTGGTTCTGAGAGTCCAGCTCGGGTCTGAATGAATACACTTCTTTGTGTCCGGATTAAATTAATTTACAGATTATTAGCCTCTTATTATTATTATTAGTGTTATTAATGACGTCATTGTTTAAACCCTGTTGGTCATTTTATTGATCCACGGTGTCCGTTTGCAGACCTCGTATCTCCGGCGGAGTTTTCTATGATCCTCTCTCATTTATTAATAATACTAATATTTCTGATTCCATCATTTACAGAAAAACTGGATCTTTGTGTTCTGGTCCGGTCCGGTCTCCGGCGGCCCTCTCGCTGGCTCCCCGTGTCTGCGTCCTCGTCCTCGGCCTCGGCTCCGGCCGGCAGCGCTCGGCTGTCCCTCGGCTCCTGCTGCTGAACAAGCCGAACACGGTGCACCTCCTGCGGCCTCAAAGCGCCGCCGCTGTCGCCGGATTTCGAGCCTCTTTGTCGGCTGTAACCTCCGCCGCCGCTCCGTGAACCTGAACACGACGCGACAGCTTTCACTTTGATCTCAAGCGTTTTCTCACATTTTGGCCGCAGAGGCGCGAAATGTCTCTAATGATCCTGTAATTATCAGCTAATTACCCGCCAACATGAGCCCCGAGACGGCGACACGAAGACAGGAGCCGAGAGCAGCCGAGAGCAGCCGAGAAGGGCCGGCACACAAATGTTAAATAAAAAATCAAATAAATACAGCTTCTGTTATAATGATAGGCCTTTGATAAAATCAGATGTTAAATCACACCGCGATGATGGTTAAATATAAAATCAGATGATGTTTAAATATAAAATCAGATGATGTTTAAATATAAAATCAGATGATGTTTAAATATAAAATCAGATGATGTTTAAATATAAAATCAGATGTTAAATCACATTGTGATGTTGTTTAAATAAAATCAGATGATGTTTAAATATTAAATCAGATGATGTTTAAATATAAAATCAGATGATGTTTAAATATAAAATCAGATGATGTTTAAATATAAAATCAGATGAAGTTTAAATATAAAATCAGATGTTAAATCACATTGTGATGTTGTTTAAATATAAAATCAGATGAAGTTTAAATATTAAATCAGATGTTAAATCACATTGTGATGTTGTTTAAATATAAAATCAGATGATGTTTAAATATTAAATCAGATGATGTTTAAATATAAAATCAGATGATGTTTAAATATAAAATCAGATGATGTTTAAATATTAAATCAGATGATGTTTAAATATAAAATCAGATGAAGTTTAAATATTAAATCAGATGATGTTTAAATATAAAATCAGATGAAGTTTAAATATAAAATCAGATGAAGTTTAAATATTAAATCAGATGAAGTTTAAATATAAAATCAGATGTTAAATCACATTGTGATGTTGTTTAAATATAAAATCAGATGAAGTTTAAATATAAAATCAGATGAAGTTTAAATATAAAATCAGATGATGTTTAAATATAAAATCAGATGAAGTTTAAATATAAAATCAGATGATGTTTAAATATAAAATCAGATGTTAAATCACACCGTGATGTTGTTTAAATATAAAATCTGATGATGTTTAAATATAAAATCAGATGATGTTTAAATATAAAATCAGATGATGTTTAAATATAAAATCAGATGATGTTTAAATATAAAATCAGATGATGTTTAAATATAAAATCAGATGATGTTTAAATATAAAATCAGATGATGTTTAAATATAAAATCAGATGATGTTTAAATATAAAATCAGATGTTGTTTAAATATAAAATCAGATGTTGTTTAAATATAAAATCAGATGATGTTTAAATATAAAATCAGATGTTTAAATATAAAATCAGATGTTAAATCACATTGTGATGTTTAAATATAAAATCAGATGTTTAAATATAAAATCAGATGTTAAATCACACCGTGATGTTGTTTAAATATAAAATCAGATGTTTAAATATAAAATCAGATGTTTAAATATAAAATCAGATGATGTTTAAATATAAAATCAGATGTTTAAATATAAAATCAGATGTTAAATCACACCGTGATGTTGTTTAAATATAAAATCAGATGTTAAATCACATTGTGATGATGTTTAACTATAAAATCAGATGTTGTTTAAATATAAAATCAGATGTTAAATCACACCGTGATGTTTAAATATAAAATCTGATGATGTTATAACATAAAACATAAATGAAAAGACAGGAAGAAAAATTATTTTGTTTGTCTCAAAACAATTATTTTCCTTAAAGTTTTATTCTTTTTTTAAGTTAAGGCTATAAAATATATTTAATTCATATAATTTGGCTTTTGTTGTTAATAGTGAAGGTTTAATATTATAAATGTTTTCAGTTTGTTTATTTTATTTTTCCAAGTGTCTAAAATGAGAAATTCAAAAATATAATATATATATGTGTTTTTTTTAAATGACAATAATTTCATTTGTGAGGTTTTTCTTTGTCTGATAAGAGATGGTTAATTAATTTATAGTTAATTAATTAAGGCAAAGATTAAACAGATGACCAAATCATTAGGACTAATAACAAAAAATTACACTTATGTCTGAATGGAGACGTCATTGTCCTTCTGTGAATAAAACAGATCGTTCTCTCCTGATAAAACTATAAACTGAATCTTTAGAGCAGAACAAAGAGTCTGCGCGATGCGTTGACATTTACCAGCATACATAACGTGCTGCTGCTGCTGACTGTGGAATATGACATTTGATTTGTCTGAGGATCAGCTGCTTATTGCCGTTTTACTGACCACGACCTTCATGATTTAACCAAACACAGACAGGCTTTTATTGTGGAGGTTCGACTTCTCATCACTGAGGAGAAACTAATAAAATAAAAGAGACGTAGTTTTTTAGATTTTAAGTGTTAAACTATTTTTGATGTTAAATAATTTCACATTGAGTCCAAACAAACAAACACCCTCTCACCTGTTTACTGCTGCAGTGAAAACCTCGTATCTCCAGACCACAGCTTGACTTTCCTGTCTCAGGAAACAAGATTTGACATGTGCAGGTCACGAGTCTGCGGCGCTCCTGTGAACCAAAGCTTGTTAAACAAATAATTTCTGCTAACACGGTAATAATTTGTGTAAACAAGACACGAATCTCACGTGAATAAAATAACTCATGCAAACAAGATCATTACCAGCAAGAACACGATCTAAAAAAAACAAGATGCTGCAGTAAGAATACAGAGAAACATGAGTCGGTGTCAGGCAGCTCGGAGCGGGTGGCTGGGTTATGTAGTGTAAGATGGCTCCGACTGTACATCACATCTATATTTCACCATCTCAATACGCCGTGTGCATGTTACTGATGTTAGTATATCCACTTTGTTTGACTATGTGCTGTTTATCGATTAATAATTGATCCAGGCACAGAACATGTTTGTAATTTGTTTCATGCACACCCACTGAACACTGAATGATCATCGACAGTATCAGCTTGTATAACAGTGTAAAGTAGTGAGCCTGCAGCTTGTATAACAGTGTAAAGCAATGTAAAGCAGTGAGCGTGCAGCTTGTATAACAGTGTAAAGTAGTGAGCGTGCAGCTTGTATAACAGTGTAAAGCAATGTAAAGCAGTGAGCGTGCAGCTTGTATAACAGTATAAAGTAGTGAGCGTACAGCTTGTATAACAGTGTAAAGCAGTGAGCGTACAGCTTGTATAACAGTGTAAAGCAATGTAAAGTAGTGAGCGTACAGCTTGTATAACTGTAAAGTAGTGAGCGTAGAGCTTGTATATATATCTCTTACAGCTTGTATAACAGTGTAAAGCAGTGAGCGTACAGCTTGTATAACAGTGTAAAGCAATGTAAAGTAGTGAGCGTACAGCTTGTATAACTGTAAAGTAGTGAGCGTAGAGCTTGTATATATATCTCTTACAGCTTGTATAACAGTGTAAAGTAGTGAGCGTGCAGCTTGTATAACAGTGTAAAGTAGTGAGCGTGCAGCTTGTATAACAGTGTAAAGTAGTGAGCGTACAGCTTGTATAACAGTGTAAAGTAGTGAGCGTGCAGCTTGTATAACAGTGTAAAGTAGTGAGCGTACAGCTTGTATATATATCTCTTACAGCTTGTATAACAGCGTAAAGTAGTGAGCATACAGCTTGTATAACAGCGTAAAGTAGTGAGCGTACAGCTTGTATAACTGTAAAGTAGTGAGCGTACAGCTTGTATAACAGTGTAAAGTAGTGAGCGTACAGCTTGTATATATATCTCTTACAGCTTGTATAACAGCGTAAAGTAGTGAGCGTACAGCTTGTATAACTGCAAAGTAGTGAGTGTACAGCTTGTATAACAGTGTAAAGTAGTGAGCGTACAGCTGGTATAATAGTGTAAAGTAGTGAGCGTGCAGCTTGTATAACAGTGTAAAGCAATGTAAAGTAGTGAGCGTACAGCTTGTATATATATCTCTTACAGCTTGTATAACAGCGTAAAGTAGTGAGCGTACAGCTTGTATAACTGTAAAGTAGTGAGCGTACAGCTTGTATAACAGTGTAAAGTAGTGAGCGTACAGCTTGTATATATATCTCTTACAGCTTGTATAACAGCGTAAAGTAGTGAGCGTACAGCTTGTATAACTGCAAAGTAGTGAGCGTGCAGCTTGTATAACAGTGTAAAGTAGTGAGCGTGCAGCTTGTATAACAGTGTAAAGCAATGTAAAGTAGTGAGCGTACAGCTTGTATAACTGTAAAGTAGTGAGCGTGCAGCTTGTATAACAGTGTAAAGTAGTGAGCGTGCAGCTTGTATAACAG